CTAGGGAGAGAGGAGATTCCCCTAAAATATTGTACACGAATTCATATTTATCCCAAATTAGAGGAAAATCAAACATGACAGTTTCCATACTATTATTGGAATGATGTCAGCATAAGCAGCACCTCTCGTTTCCGATAAAACTTCAATTAGAAAAAAGAATCATGAAAAAAATCAAGGGGGAAATAGATGGTGCATGGAAAAGGCAGTGGGGAAAATAAGAAAAGGAAGATATCCCTCTCCGACAAACGTTATTGCTTTTGAGATTTCATGCAGGCTTTTGATAACAAAGACCCTTTTAAACATGAATGAGAAAAATGCAAAGGGACAGAGCCACTCCATTCTAATTATTATATATAACAATATTCTGATCAGAAAGAGATAAGATCTTCTTCCCCATTATTACACTGATTGCCTATTGGATCATCCAATCTGGTGGCACAGAAACAAAGAAAATCAGAAGGAAATAAAAAAAATTTGCCAGAATATGTTTAGAACAATTCTTTTTTTTTTTTCATTTAACTTTGCCTTTTGCATGCATGGCTTTTTACTTTTGCAATAATGTGGGGAAGCCAAATTCTGCGAATTAGAAACTGCCGCGTTTCTGAATTTCTATGGGGACACGTAACATAGGGTTTGTCTTAGTTTTGGTTGGCTTGAGCCAGGGGTTTTCGATTTTTGTCGTGGTCAATGCCCTTTAACCCACTTTTCTTTCTGTGATTGAGCCATCTTTGCTCTTTAGTCTTTAGTCCACTCCCACCCGTTGCTTGACGGTGAGACCAGCGGTGGCTATAGGTTTGCCTTTTTTAATCATGGGAATGAACCACCAGTAATGACCACTATGTTAATTGGTGGCCAGCCTAGCAGAATCTTGTCTTGTTTTATTCCTAACCCAAGCTACTCTAAATCTTTTATATTTATTTTTGTGTTTTGGTTACATGTGTCAATTTTAGGTTCTTCAATTACACTTTTCGATCTTTTCAATTTCATCATGAGCCTAATCGATGGAATCATTTACCCTTATCCTAATCGGTTATAAGGATATTACATTTTATATGTTTGATTAAAGGAATTAATAAACTGTACTTTCCATGAAAAATATACTATGATTTCATAATAAATTACTAATATACTTTTTTTAAATTATCCCTCTAATAATTCATTATGTAGTGTTCCGCGATCATAAATTGAGGAATTTATCAAGATTAGCTATCGAATCACAAGCTAAATGACGTGTGTAATTCACTTTCAAAGCTTCAGTGAACAAATTTTTTTTTTTTTTCATTTTATTTGGAAGTGATGGGAAGTTTTTCCCTTAATGTTGCATGTTTTTCTCATAAATTGAAAAAAAAAAAAGCCAAAAATCAAGAGAAAACAAGGAGAATAGAAACCAAAAGTTTCAAGACCACACAATGACGAACTTTGTATAGTAATTTGAAAGCGTAATTTGCACGAGAGAAAAGCCTTAACATTTGACAAAGAATCTTTTTTTTTTTTTTAAATCGCATAAGATATAACATTCCATTCAACATTTTCACAAATTGTGAACCATAAAAATTAGTATCATAATAATGAAATAAATTTCCCAATAAAAATTAATTTAAGCGGTAGTTAAAAAAGCCGACCGAATAGAATTGGGTTAATATCTGAAATGCATTTTGTCCAGCATCCTTCATTAGAAAAAGTATTCTGTTTGTGATTGAACACAAGAGAAAGCAAAATCATTACTTAATATACAGCTATATGCTGCTTCGGACCACATGTCTTTTTCATATCTTGACAAATCTGTCCAATGATCCCTAAGGCATAGCCTGAAAGACAACGTTATCCAAAAAGAAAACGGCATTTGATGATCAAAATGTAGTTTTTTTTTTTTTCCATAAATATTTTAGCTGGTTTATATATTTATCATGGAATCCTAGACATTGAACATTGAAGCAAAAGACATGGCCAGAGTTTTGGGGGAGGATAGGATGGGAGCAGGAGGGAGGTGTATGGTGGGGAAAAGCAGCCGAGCATGGAGGTGATGTGGTTGGATCTTGTCCACCTGCCGTCGAAGTCCTTTAGTTCGTACAAGTTACGATTCGTTACAAGACACCACTAGGTCTTTTATTGTGTTGGGATTGTGGCTTGCATTTTTAAGTATGCTTGGTAGAATTTGTTCCCTTTGGAGATTCCTTCATTTAAATTTTTTCAAAATAAAAGGACATTTTAAAATGATAGGTTTAATTAAGTTTTGAAAACTTTGATGCGATAGATCCCTTTTATGTCCGATTGATGTGTGATTTAGCTATAAATTTTAAAACTGATCACAAATAAACTTATTAGCTAGCATTAGGATACGTTTCTGTGTGCTTGAATACAAAATCAAACAGTCATATGATTTATTAATTTTAATAATAAGAATTAAATTCTTAATAATTTTAAATAAAAAAAATCAAACCGGAACTGCAAACCCTACTTTACTAACCCATGTTCATCCGAGGTCACTGAGCCCTCTAATTTAGCATTCCAATCTTCAAGCCATGTAACTGAGTTTGAAAATAGGCCTTGAAGGGGCCCGTTGCTTTCTGTCTACCTATCCACCTAGCTAGAGTAGATGAATTGGGTCTAGAAGAGCCATGGCCTACAAACTGGCCCAAGCCGAATCTGGAGCCAGTGGTATGGCGGATCAGGACATGACTTATTGTTGGAGAAATGTTGTTTCATTGAAGAATGCAACGACTGCAATTAGTGACATTTGCTGTGATGGTTGAATGTAGATAACAAAAATTGGTGTTAGTTTGCTTTGTAAAAGCTTTAACGGAGACTGAGTGGTGGTCCACTTTCGATGATAATAGAGGCTTTTGCTAATGGTTTGGAGCATTCAGTACGCCATAATAGAAACTTTCAATCCAATTCAAGAAAGAGGTTGGGATGGACATAATAAGACTTTAAATAGAAATTTTAGGTATGAGTCAAACTAAGAAGCTGTTGAAAGCTTCAAAGTTGAAACCTACCAAAAAAACGTTTGTGCTTAATTTCAATTGTTTAACAGTACATTGATATATAAATTTTTAACATAAAACATAAAAATGGTCAACCCAATTTTGTTTACTTTAGCTTGAAACCTTGAGAGTTTGAAAATTTTGGATGATTAAGAAGGATTCATTCCCCTTTATCTTTGTAATATAGCCTGATAAACTATTGTCTCATTCTTCGATCCCAAGATATACAGCTAGCTGGATAGGCTCACGCTGATCGATCAGGTTCCTTAATTTCCTCATCTCCCAAACCCCAATGCGCAGTTGCCTACACTCATTTATGGGCACCCCCCGAGCCGTCTGCCCTCGCGCAATATGCGCAATTTGTGCTGGCCCTGGCTTCATTTTTCCTCTGAAAAATTTCTTGTTTCGGCTATATATCAACGCTATTAGTTTTTTTCTTTTTTTTTTTTTTTTTTTTTTACAAAGGGATCGCAATGTGAAAATAAAAAAAAAATTAAAAAAATTAAAATTTAAATATCAAATTTACTAAATGTCATTTTTTAAAAAAATGATAACACAAACCAGTTGAATTGAACTTCATATTCATCTTAATCTTATTTCACCAACAATACATTTATGAAGTCAAGACCATCCCCTTTTGCTTTGAACTTAGACAATATTGTTGCTTTTGGTCATTCATGCACTCAGGATAATGTTCAATTCCCATTACATATATATTGAAATTAATGGAGGTTGCTTCTATATATTGGCATCTACATTTTAGTGTAATGTTCAATTTAATATATAACCAAAAAAATTATTTTTTTTATTTTATGAATTATATTCAAGCTTTTATTTTTTGAGTGGATAAAAAACATATAGATAAGTTAAATGATTAAATGTAAAAGGAGAGAGAGCTGTGATTGATAACTACACATTTTCATGTAATTATACATATGCAAGAATCAATAATGTCAGACTTTAATTTATATATAGATGTATATAAAATATTGCTTAATTTATGCTAACGATCATAGACCTTTTATCATGAAAGGAAAGAGACTTTTTGATAATTTTTTTTAATCTAATCTAGATCTAGATCTTGCTATTGCATGTGGAAATTTTAATTGCTTTGGGTTGTACCATCATTTTTGCATTGGTAATTAAATAAAATATATCCAAAATTTAAAATGTAATAATCAAATAATCTTTACAAAACTCCTTTTCACTATATAGTTCAATTTCCAACGAGAGGAAAGCTTAGCCAATAGATGTAAAGGTTCTAAATTTGTAATGGTATTATGCTTAATTAGTCAAACGTCAGCAACGATGGGTCACCCTAGTTTTAACCAATAAAAAGAGAGCGATGTATCCAATCAATCCTTTTCAATTCAATTGTTGAGTATTAAACTACAAATTGAAGTACAAAGAAACCCATGAACCCACGAGGAGTTGTCGGCGCCAGGCATACAACTTGCCCTTTGTTTATATAAATAAAATAGTAATAAAAGAGGGAAAGTCAAAGTCCCAATAAGGGTTTGCTAGCGGCCATCGCAACGCCAACGCCTGTCCCAAAAAGCCCCTGCCTGCCTAGCCCCTTTCGTTCCGTTTCATGCCTCAAACCATAAGTCTTTTAAGTTTTTTATTGGATGCCAGAGGCAGGAAGTAATAGAATTTTTTTGAGCTTTTCTCCTTCCAAAACCTTGGAAATGGTCCTAATTAATTCCCCTCTCTCTCCCACTAATTTTGCGTGTGTTGACTTTTTGTTCGTTGATGTTGAACAGCTTTAGCATTTTCTCCTCTCCGCTCTACACATAAAAGCGTATCCACCCTCTCACCCACCAGCCAATTTAGCGAGTGTCAGCTTTTAGACAGGTTTGAGGTTACATTTCATTCAATTCATTCCATTCTCAGCTTTTTTGTTCTCCTTTTATTTAGCATCATCGTATCTTCCATAGTTGCATTAAAGCTAGTTTTTTTTTATTTTTGCCTGCAGTTCGTTGGTTTTCTTTTTTATTTTAAGTAACCAGGCTTTGTTTGCCTGATTAATTTGTTAGATTTAGTAGCTTCAAAAATAATGGATGAAATTGAGATTCCTCATCATTTTCTTTGTCCAATTTCCCTTCAACTCATGAGAGATCCTGTTACAATCTCAACTGGAATAACATACGATCGAGATAGTATAGAGAAATGGTTTTTTTCATGCAAGAAAAAGGCCTGCCCGGTTACGAAGAAAGTGTTGCACGATTCAGATCTAACCCCAAATCACACTCTTCGTCGCTTGATCCAAGCATGGTGCACGCTTAATGCTTCCCATGGAATCGAAAGAATCCCAACACCTAAGCCTCCAATCGACAAAACTCAGATCGCCAAGCTCCTTAAAGATGCGAAAAAGTTCCCTGAGATGCAACTCAAATGCCTTAAAAGGCTCAGATCAATCACACTTGAAGGTGACAGAAACAGAAGCTGCCTGGAAGCCGCTGGTGTAGTTGAATTCCTGGTATCAATTATCAAGAGTAATTATGAATCTACGTTGTTACTTGAAGTGGAGAGCAATGAAGGGTCAGAATTTATAAAAGCTAGCGATGAAGCATTGAGTATTCTTTATCATATCAAGATCTCTGAAAGCTGTCTAAAGAGTATTATTAGGAATGATCAGGAATTTGTAGAGTCTTTAGTGCAAATCCTGAAAAATGATAACTATCAATCTCGAGCATACGCCACGATGCTATTGAAGAATATTTTTGAAGTGGCAGATCCAAACCAATTGATCACTATTACACCTGAATTCTTTGCTGAAATCGTATGTACTTTGCGTGATCGGATCTCGGTGCAGGCCTCCAAGGCAGCATTGAAACTCCTTGTGGAGCTTTGTCCTTGGGGAAGAAACAGGATCAAGGCCGTTGAAGGTGGTGCGGTCTTTGTCTTGATCGAGCTTCTTCTCGAAACCTCTGACAAGAGAGCTTCCGAACTTGCTTTGATTCTGTTGGATCAACTCTGTGGTTGTGCCGAAGGGAGAGCAGAGGTTTTGAAGCATGGAGCGGGGCTAGCGATTGTCTCGAAGAAAATATTCAGGGTTTCCCATCTGGCAAGTGACAGGGCAGTGAGGATTCTATCCTCAATTTGCAGGTTTTCAGCAACATCTAGGGTTCTTCAGGAAATGCTGCAAGTGGGTGTGGCGGCCAAGCTATGCTTGGTGCTTCAACTTGATAGCAGTCACAAGACCAAGGAGAAAGCAAAGGAGATCCTAAAATTGCACTCTAGGGTTTGGAGGAACCATTCTTGTATTCCTTCTTATTTGTTGTCTTCTTATCCATCTTCTTGAGATTGGTGATCTTTCCTTTTTTTTTTTTTTGGTGATCTTCTTATCCATCTTCTTGGAAAGCAGATCTCCATGCAACTAAATTTGAATTATACAAATTCAATAGGCATCAAATTTTGTCTATAAAGAGACACTTTCCATGAGAATTTTGTTCCTTATTGCATATGCCTTATCGACATTTGTTTGTTCTTTTTGTAAGAGAAACATAATGATAATGTATTTGGAAAGACATAGATAATCGAAGTCAAATTAAACACAGCGTATGTATTGCCTTTGGATAAATTGTTTATGCACTATGAATTTTACAGGTAAATGGATATTTGGATTGAGTTCAAGTCAATCCCATATTTGGAGCCAATAATTTTGAATGTGAAGATTCTCAATATGACTACTTTTTTCTCTTGTATCTTTTGGTGACAAGATTCAATGAGTTTTAGCTATACAATGCAACATTTTTAGGTACCAAAAAAACTTTTTTTTTTCTTATTTCCAAATTGCATTTCACTAGTTAATACCGAGATCTGAAAAAATGTTTGAACATTCAAATTTCCTATTTACAAGCCGAAGTCAAGGCTTTTGTATCATATATGCCAATATGTAAGAAATTATAGCTGAAAGTTTATCATACATATATACATTTACAGTTTTCTGCTATATTTACATCAATCTTATGTTGTTAAAAACTTTCATATTGTGTGAAGAGACCATTTAGTACATGTTTGCAGCTTCCATATTGCAACACAAGTTTAAATCGATAGCACAAAAAAAAATATTTATGCAAGCAAGACTCAACCATATCTAATTAGCTCCAAAGAGATATAGATATATAACAGTCATCGTTTTACTATAACTAGAAAAGATGATGATTTGGTTTCTTCCCCCTATATGACCCGCTAGAGTTTAAGCCATTCAGATCAAGACAAAGTTATATATTTTAAGGATTATTATCATAAAAAATATTTTATAATCCAGAGTTTATTGTGGGATCACTGTGTTATGGTTGATTCGTTTTGGACCGTTCCAACTAACAATTAGAGATGTAATTATTTTAATGAACAAATCTAGTGTTGATCTGATCTCCGTGTCTCCAGGGCCCTGGTTGAACTCAGTTTGGGTTGGATAAAATTGGGTTTCAATTTTCAATGCTAAATAGGTCTAGTTTTTCAGGTTCGAATTTGTTTTGATAACATAAGATTTATCAGGTTTGGACCTTTAAATAATTCAAGTCAAATCGAATTTATTTAATATTGTTGACTCTTTTGGTTTTGTTAAGAAATTATGTCCGGTCACATCAATTCTTCCTATATTTTTTTCATTTTTTATTTAAAATTATCAAAATTTGATCTTAATTTATTGAAACTTAAAGTTTAACATCCTACTTTATTTTATTTTAAGTTCAAACTATTGGCTATCTTAGAATTGACTAAACACATTGATTTCAAAGGCATTGTAAGAGTTTAATCATCTTAATTTTTTTCTTTGCTTGATAAAGTATGGTTTAGCCACCAAAAGTTTTTAAAATAAGGTACTCAAGATATTGAATTGAACTCTTATATGGTCCAATCAAAATATGAAAATTTTATTTTCACCTAATTATGTTGTTAACTAGGGACCCTTAATTGGGTTAATATAGTTATGTTGTTAATTAAATTGTAAATAATATTGATTTGATTAACTTAATAATGTTTTTGACTTAACGGAATCAATTATCATTACTTAAATCGTATAGTACAAATTACATAAAAATAAAAAATTAATAATAAAATCAACAACTATACCATTTATTGATTGAACATTAAAATTTTAATTTCAAACATTAAAAAACCAATCCCAAGCAATTGCAAATAAAAACAAAATTCAACGACGAGCCATCACAATTGCATGCTTAAAAGTGCTTAAGCTCAAGGGCGGCGAGGTCAAGGTCTCAAGAGTGTAGGTCGGCAATGGAGTAGGCCTTGGGTCTGGGGTTGTAAGTCGTCCATTCTAAGTTGGAGATAGGCACCAAATCTATAGTCAAACGTTTCGGGCTTGGTAAGCTTTAGCCTATGTACGACTCACAGCCCTTCAGCTTCAACGGTCAGCAGGTGAATTAAATTCGTTACAAAAGTGCGAAAGCAAAAACTTTGAAATGAATCTTCATAAGAGAAAAAAACAAAAGTCGCCAACGAGGAATAACAGAAGTGATACAAAACGAATATGGGGTGCCAATGCATTCAACTTCAAATTTTCTGACCGTCTTTCTTTACGATTTATAAATTTAAAAAAAATTCACAAATAAAAATTTAATGAATCTTTAAATTTCAATCAAATTGATGATTTATCCGAATTAATTTTAAAAATTGGATAATCTCTCCTATATTTTTTGAATAAAAAAAAATTAACTCATTTCCTTGTGTTTGTAATTTTATTTTTTTTTATATATACACATTTTTTCTTCATTAAATAAATATATATTATATCTAAATTTAATCAATATATTCAAAACCTGAAACAACGAACCTGTCCCAGATCCTAACATTCTTAATTGTCTGTCACCTATAAATTATTTATGCACTTTTTTTTTTTTAATTTGGTTCCATAAAATTATATATTTTAATTTAAAGGTGGAAGGGGAAAAGTGATGAAAGATAATGGTCAATGATTTTAGTTTGACTTGAATGGGAAAATTGCAATCCAACATTTGGGACAGGTCGGCTAATCTGTATCTACATGATTCAACGAAAACTGTTTAAAACATAAATCTGTGAACTGTGAAGCATAAAATAGATTTGATTGACGGTCAAATCAAGAACAGCCAAGCATGTTCAAACACGATACGGATAAAAGCAGGTTCATTCCATGTTTAAATTGGAAGATTAGGAGAAAATTAAGATTCCCTTTTGTTGGATTCAGATTTTTATTCATTTTTATAGTTAATTGATTGATCATATTAGTGTAAACAACAGTTGTAATCAATAATTCAAATCAGTCTAAGGTTTTTTTTAATAAAAGAAACCCAACGAGAGAGGACCGTAGTTAGTACAAACATAAGGACAGTTGGCAATTTTTAAAAATAAAAGAACTTTGCTTTGGTTATTTATTAATATTATATAGTAATGCAAGCTAAATTTGGATGCATCAATGTATTTTCCAACCAAAATATATTTCAAATAAATTTGGTCATTTAATTGTAGATTAATGGTATTGTTAATTATCGTGATAGAGTGTTAATTTTTACGAGAAAATATTAATTTATATCATTATAAAATTAAAATTTTTATAATTTTTATAATCATTATCTTAATAAATAAAAAAATCGAGATTAAATTAAATTATTAATTTATTTTTTTCATCCTTTGAATTTATAAAAATTAATAATTAAAAAAATTGTAAAATTTTTTAAATTTTCATTGATATAAATTTATTCTCCTAAACTATTCATCCCTAACACATAATTGTAATATGACAAAAATTTCTCCTGGCATGTTGTTAAAGGAGCCTTAAATGTATTTTGTTCAATGTAATTTAATAAAAATAACTTTAAGCAAACTACTAATAAATTTCATACCGAAAAAGTTACAAGGAAATGAAAAGCATGCCTCATTTGTTGAACACCCATATTGTACACCTTTGTATCTTTGCATGCATTTAAAGTTGATATAGAAAGCACGTTTTATTTGTTTTCCTTTTAGTTCCTCAATAAAGTAACTGTGATTTGTATTTTTCCAGCTGCCAAGCAGATAACCATTGATTGCGGAAATTTCCCTAACATTGAGGTGTCCTACCAAGCAACTTTTATTCCCTCCGTGTGCTTTCCATGGGGCTTTTTCAGTGTCCCATTTTTTGTATCTCATATGGTCGGCACTTATTTGGCACTTATAGTGATAGGTGCATAATCTCTACATAAATAAGTAATGTAGAATTTACAATATTTATTATTATTTATTATTAATTTAAGTATTATATTTTATATGATGAATTTAACATAAATTAATCAATGCATCAATGTATAATTAAATTGAATTAAATTCATGTAAGATAAGATTTGAACTTTAAATTTAATGAGTTCAAAATTTGTTCTTGAATTACTAATAAAGCATTTATTATATAAGATAAAAAAATGATTATCCGTTTATAGCTAGATCCAATGTGCTAACCTACATTTTACATTTATTAGTTTTTTTTTTAATTAATAAAAACTCCTCTCTATATATAAAAGTATATAAAGGAAAGAAAGAGGAAAAAAACATAAAAAGTTGAATAAGAAACTTGATATGAAATAGGCAAAGTAACTTTGTATAAACATTTAAAGATCACAATTAATTGCGAATGATGATTGGTTAAGTTTAATTTTTGCTGTTAATAGTTTTCTTTAATGGAAGATCTGTATATTTAAAGTAAATACTCTTTGAATCTTGCAATTTTTGTTGAGAAAATCTCCCTTTACCAAAATTTTTTAGTACCAAAAAAATCACAACTAAATTTTGATAACTAGCTATTATGCTCGATCGATATGTTTTACACAATCTCATAACATTCCTTATCATTAACTATGACAATTCTTACAATTGATCGATATTTTGTACACATTTCATGGTATTGATCTGTATCCTTGATGATCATATCTATAATCTATTATAGTCTTTAACAAAAACTGTAATAATTTAAACTTTTGTCACCAAGGTTACCTTTGGTATCTGGTTAATAGATAAACAGCAATACAAGGAGAATCATTCCATAAATTGGAGTGCAATCTAAGGACCCCTCTGGCTTTCTCTTTCAGAAATCTTGAACAATCTGCTTGAATTACCATGCAAAGCTTTGTCACAGCCCCAACCCTCAACATCTCTAGAAGGACTTCTCTGGTGGCAGAATATTTTGAGATCAATGAAAGTATGTGAACAGCTTGATCATCTGTTGCTGGTGAAACCCTTAGGATCCTTTTAGCCATCATAGCTATGCTTCCAGCATGGAGTAGAAACTGAGCTCTTCCATCTGCGCATGAACAAAGATGTGCCAAAAGATTGACGATCAGTTCGGTGATGTTCTTTTCAGGTTTCTCGAGTTCAAATTCGATGAGATCGAAAATTGCATTGGCTTCAACGATTTTGGATTTGTTTCTTCCCCACAGACATGCCTCTATTAAAATTTGCAAGGCCGATTTGGTAGCCTGTTGAGAGATTTTCAATTTCAGTACCCTTAACATTTCTTTGAAGAATTCAGGTTTCAGTATCTCCAACATTCTTGTATTTGCAACTTCAATCACCCGTTTCAACACAAGCATTGCATGAGTCTTGACAACAACAGGATTCTCAATCTCAAGCCCAAGAATCCATGTTAAACAGTCAAGGGAATCGTAATTTTCATTCACAAGAGCCTTGATTTCACTAGATGGTGTCCAAATAAGATAAAGAATTCTCAAAGCTTCTTCAAGACCAAGATTTATCCCTTCCTTGTAACATCTTATCAACAACAAAATCACAGCCTTTGCAGCTCCAGCTTCCTCCATGCATTTTCTGTTCCCTTCATTGGTGTCCTTTGCCAGGACTTCCATTTTCTTCAAAGCATTTATACACAAACAAGGGACCTCAAGTTCACGAATGAGCTTAAGAACATGATTCTTACTGAGAGCAGATTTTGGTGTAGGAATTCCATCAATACCATTACTCGTATTTTCTGTACACCATTTCTGAATCAGCCGCCGCAGCGTGTGATTTGGGGTTAAATCAGAATCTGATGGCAAAGGCTGCTTCGTAACAGGACAGGTCGTGCCCTTGGCCTTCTTCAACCATTGCTCTATGCTTTCCCTATCATAAGTGATGCCTGTAACCGCTGTAACAGGGTCTTTCATGATTTGCAGCGATATGGGACAGATGAAATATTGAGGTATTTCGATCTCATCCATTGGTATAGCTTAAGATGGAAGGAGTTGAAAATGCGGAGTTTGCTAATTAAGAAATAGAGAGATATAGAAAATTAATAACTTGTCAAGCCAAAATGATAAGAGAAAGTGGCTTCTATATATAATGGTTTGAAAGCCCATGTATATAACAGGAAGGCAAATAATTGGTATTTGGTAAGCAAAACAGCATTCTTTGGTATAAAAAGGCTAAGAATGAAAGAAGGGGACAGCAGACTTTAAAACTTAAATTTTAAATTTGCTAGATATTATTTTTTAAAAATAATTATATAAATTTGCTTTGACTACTTGTATCTTCTTTTACCAGTCAGAGTTTCTAATCTAAGGGTTAGGATGGTCAACACACGAGAAAAAATTCAAATCACATTAGTCAGAAATTTCATCCGGTAAGGCAGTGGTCAGGCTGTGTGTTTCACGCCAGGGAAGGACAAAGGTGGGCCGAAAAGGCCCCCCAAAAAACGTGAGTAGTAACTATGGATTCTGTTTTTGAAAATTCAATTCAAAGATGGTAAAATCAGGGCAAATATTGTAGGCGGCGCGACTTGGCGACTTTCGGGGGGGGGCGCGGTTTGAGAGAAAAGAATGCCAAACCAAACACATAATATTAATACTAATGTAGTGCACTGCATTTGTGGAATTCAAACTTTTTATGCATTTTTCAATATTTTGTTGACCCATTAATGTATGCCCAAATAAGTATAATACTAATTGAATATGATAATTTGTATATTTATATTACTTTTTAAACTCCATAAATAAAGTTAAAAAATGATCGTGTGTTTCTTAGTAAAACAATTAAATCATAAATGTTTACAACGTTGGAAATTATGGTGGGCGAAGTGACGTGTATAACCCACCGGCCAGTTATTAATTCAAAAGCTACACAACGACAATTAAACTATGTTGAGATTCGTGATTTTCTTTGAGTTATCCATAAAAAATGATGAAACAATGGTTTGACAATCTAGAATTAAAGTTCTGGCCAAAAAAAAAAAAAAGAAATCTATAAACAAAATAAAGTAGTTAACAGATATACTTTGGTGGTAGAACAATTTAATATTTTAATTTGAAAGTTTCGAATTGAATATTAATTAAGATGTTATAAAATAGAAAAAAATTCACTTGGTAATCTAAAATCATATGCAAAATTTTTGACTCAGCTGTTTTTGGGTTTTTCAGCAATAAGTTTCTGGATTGATTCCACATCCTTTTCAAATTTACTGCTCAATCTCTGACCTTTTTTTTTCTTTGATATTTTAAGATCATTTTCTTTATACGATTTTGGCAAAATTTTAAGGTAGCTAGATCATCTCTTTAATTCCTTTTACAATCGAGGAATTTTTTATTTTTTTATAAGGTGGCTTTTTCTCTGAAACCAAGTTGGATATCTGGAATTTTTCCCAATAAAATTGGCCAAATCTCCATATTAATTATATATAGGTACAGATTTTTTTCATTAATGTTAACATTCTCTAAAGTTTGATATATTTAAAAATCTTATCATCAAGTGGTTAGTTCAATTAGTTAAAACTTTGTCTTTTTCGATTAAAAAGTTTTGAGTTTAAATTTTATCTATGATCGCTTGTTAAGATCATCTTGAATACATGAATTACAATTATTTATCTTAAATTATTAGATACGATACATTTTATTCTGACTTAAAGACTGAACAATTTATTTATCTTTGAATTTTTTTATATAAAAAAAAAGATATATTCAAGCAGCTTATTGTTTTTGTTAAAAGTACTTTAAATTTGAGTTTATTTGTGATTAATCTGAGCTGCATGGTTATATAATCAAAGACTTAGGTACAAATCTAGAATAATTAAGATTGCCGGTCAAACTATATCTCAGTTTTATTGCATTTGAAATAATATTGATTCTTTTTCTTATAATATTATTTTTAAATATGAGAGGGTGTTGATTTTTCTTACTTATAATAATGTGTATCCTTGTCAATTTCTTAACAATTCAACTCTGATATTTAATATGATACAACGTCTCATGGTATATAAATTCAACTCCTTTTTTGTACAATATAAGGCAATCTTAATTCCCAAATAAACTGAACAAATTACCTAATTTAAATTACATTACAATTTACATAAATTCCATATGTAAAAAAAAAATTACACAAATTCCACTGGATGTTTCCAGGAACTCTGTATTTTACAGACGACTGAAGAAGATGGGAGTTGGGTTCCTGGAGTTGGCAGGTTCTGTTTTAGGAGGAAGTTTAGATTGCCTGCTTTACTAATAGCTTCTGGATGTTTTATAGACAAAACTTCAACTTGCTCAAGATTAAGATGCGGCTTGATCAGCTGCAAATCCAAGACCTGAACTCCAATTAAAGCAATTGCCTCATCCTTCTTGAACTTCAGATAAGGGATGTAAAGGGACTGAATTTGCTTTATATTTACTCCTTGACCAACAGGAATGTGCTGTAATGCATCTAAAATTTCTTCATCAGGGGCAAAACTAAAAGTCCCAGGGTTGAACTTGGTTCTAAGTGTATTTAGTATTCCGCTTTCCATCCACCATATTGCTCATTTACATAAATCAGGATGTTTCATTTTGTTGAAAATAGTAATTCCAATATCATAAATGATTTATTTGAGATTGGTTAGATATTACTTGATAGACAAAAAAATTTACAGAAAAAATTTTTAAAAGAAAATGGATTCTTAATAGATAAGTTTGTATATTTATTAATATATAGAATCTCTACAGAGTTAAGTATAAGAAAAAAATATAAAAGAGTTGTAAAATTTTATTGGATAGACACTCCATAACACTAACAGAGATTAACGTTTTTATAGTTTATAGATATGTATGTTTGAGTGAACTACATAAGATTGAGATGGTCTATATAAATATGTGTGTTTATATTAAAATGGATTAAAAGAGACTGAAATGATTCACATAGGTATAACTGCATGAGTATATATGAATATGTATTTATTTGAATTGAGAATATTTCATAGGACTAAAAGAGATTGAAAGTCTTATAAATATTGATTGTTGAGTGACATTAATATGATTTGTATATTTATAATTCTCTCTAATTAATGGATCTTCTCATTGGTGAACGTTAGTCGATTGGATCGAACTATGTTAAATTTTTATTTTTTGTATGATTGATTAATTATTGATTATGCTTTCACTAACTTTATTGAATTGGAATTTTTTATCCCTAACACTTTGAACTTGTTTTGATCCTGAAACTTGCTTCTTCAAGAGAAGCTTTCTCATTGAGTCTATTGTTTCCTGCAAAAATTTATTGGCAACTTTGAGTACGATCTGGTGTGCCAACCATGGGCCGTCCTGCTTTTACCACAAATCCACCCTTCTGGAATCTCCCCCAAACATATTCAGTGCAGTGGCAGATTCAAATGGAAAAAAAGGATGTTAATGGATACTTTTAAAACTTAGAAAACAATAAATTTTTCTCTTGGCACTTCAAAATATTTTTATGAATTTATTTTTTAATTGATAAATTCGTCGGTAATTTTTATTTATATTATAAATAAACATAAAAAAGTTCTTAATCTATCACCAATTCAATGCATTGTTATATATTAGAGTTATAAAACGAGTTTGAACATCCATAAGCTGCAATAGAAGGTCGAATTTCATTCCAGGCCACCTGAAAACTTATAATATTATATCAAAGTATATGCTTTGAAGTTTGAAGGCATGTGATTGTTTTAGTAACTTAACCCGGAAACATCTACCTAATTGGAAAATTACACTTTTTTTTTTCTTGTTGAAGTTGTATTGTTGGTAAATCACAAGTCATGATATACCCTTAAAAAAAAAAAAAAGCCCATGCAACAATATAAATCAAACAGTAAAACAAAGTCAATCAAGGGTTATGAGGTTCAATTAGATACCTTTCTTTTGGTTGTTTTCTGAAGAAAGAAAAATGAATAAAAGGCTTCTAAAACGACATACAAGAAACATAAAAAGAGAGTGATAAGTAAGAACTTAATTAGATGGGTAGTCCAAGAGATACTTGCAAATTGAAATGGTCAAAAAAATTATTTTATTTTATTTTATGAGTTGATCCTTTATATACTCAAAATAAAAAATTTTTAATTTTACAAATGAGATTAATAAATTGTCATATATCTCACTTTTTTAATTATTTTTTTTAAATATTTTATTATATCTTAACAAACATATGTCTCTTTATTAATCATACTAAAAAAATTTTGTTTGACATTAACTCCATTTAACTCCCAAGAAAATGACTTTATCATAATAAAAGTGATTATTTTGGAAACAAACCATAGAAGAATGAGACCAAATCTTTCCTCTGCCTTCTGGACATGGCCTGCCAAATGCCAACATTCTAGGCCTAAATTCTGTAGAACCCACTTTTTTTTACCTAGTTTGGGTAAATTACATAAAATCACCATGTCGTTTGAGGTGAATTTAAAATGATACTTAAGATTTAAAATATGCCATTTAATTACCGATTTATTTTATTAATTCTTTGCTCAAAACATAACTTTTTCCATTATTTCTTCAACGATTCACCCTTTTTTCTTTGACTTTCTCTCTTTAACATTCAAACTCTCTCACTTTTCTTTAATTTTCTTGTTAAAACCCAGAATTTTTTTTCTCTCTTTGTTCCTCATTTCTTGCTTCATGGAGAAAGAAGAAAACCCAAAGGAAAAAAAAAGTTTGAGTTTTTGAGCTTAAAATTACTATTTTTTTTGTTATCCCAAAAGATCAAAATGGTGGAGAGCAAACATGGACAAGGAGGATGAACAACTTAAGACTGGAGTCAATGGCTACTGCCCACCACAAGTTTTTGGATATTCTAGTAACCTCAACTGATGATTTTAGAAACTAAATCCCTATGTGAGAGTTGTTGTTGGAAAAGGTTTATCATTAGTAGTCTTTGTTGGTTTATTACTTCCAGTTCCAATTTTTCTTGTTGATGCTACTGTTCATGCAAATTAACTTGTTTTGACCCTCCAATCTCCATGAAATTAAGGGTCACCATGTTACTTCCTCTACAGCTCGTTCCAAATATTGCTGGCCCTAGTGGATTCATTTCCATTGTCTAAGTTCTCTCTTGTAACAAAACTAGAACTGCCACTATCTTCACATTCCATGTTCTTCATCAAACCTTGGTTTTCAGTAAACTCCGTTAATGAGCATGTTAGTGAAAATTCTCATATCAT